CGGCCTCCCCTTGCAGAGCGACGGTTCCGCGACCCTCAACAGGCTGCAGTGCGCCGTTGAATCCACGCACGTGCTTCACGTCGTCGCTCGGCCCCATGTCGACGAAGACCGCCTTCGTCCCCGTCAGGTGGTGGGAGCATCCGCTGTTGAGCAGCACTGCCATCGGGTTAGCCTGCACAGCTGCTGCCACCGCCTGGAAGTCCTCGCCGGCCTCCGGCGCCAGCGAGACTGTCGGCTCCACCACGCCGACCATCGATCCGGACGCCTCCCCGTCGCCACGGTCCTTGCCGCTGGAGCTGTCGACTTCCTTAGTCGACGACGCCTTCTTCGACGTCTTCTTCTCCTTGCGCGGCTTCTCATCTCGACGGGGGCGACGACTTGCCGATCGACCGCGGCCTCCCTTGTTGTCGTCCTCGTCACTGTCGTCGCGGTCGGGGCACTCGAAGGAGAGATGGTCGGGGTCGCCGCAGATCCAGCACTCCCGCCGTCGACCACCACCTCCACGACCCTTGTCTCGCGTCGACTTCTTCTCGTCGTCCTCCTTCTTCGACCGCCCACCTCCGCTACCACCTCCGCCGGACTTCCCGCGCTGCTCCTGCTCACGGTTCTGCTTCGTCGGTGCAGCGTAGCTCGCCTGCGGAAGGAGCTCCGTGGGCTGCTCTGCCTCCTGCATAGCTTCGTCTTGAAGGATGTAGCTGGTGATGGAGTCCTCGTCGAGGGACTCACGCGTGCCAGGCACCATCACCATCCTCTTTATGAGGTTGTAGCCGCGCGGCAGGCCCTTGACGAGGTGGGTGATGTAGGACGCCGTCGAGTACTCGGCGCCCGCCATCCGCATCTCAGCCAGGATCCGTCGAGCACGGTTGAAGTAGTCCGTCGCCGACTCCTGCTCGCCCATTCGAATGTGAGTCATCTTCTCCTCTAGCTGGCCGATGTACAGGTCGTCCTTCACCTGGTACGTCAACAGGATGAAGCGCCATGCCTGGTGACCAGCATCAAGCCGCTCTCGACAGCTCCGGAGCGCTAGCTGAACCACAGGCGAGCAGCACCTCGAGATGACCATGAAGGTGAGCAGGTGAGCAGCACGAAACTCTCGGAGCAGCTTGACATCCTCCTTGGGCGGAGTTGGCACGGTGCCGTCGACGAAGCCCTTCAGCCCGGCGACCTCCAACTGAGGTTCGATCGACTCCCTCCAGGTGATGAGGTCCCGTCGACCTTGCAGCGGTGTGACGGTGATCCGGTCCGGCGAGAACTTGAAGTAGCCATACGCCGGCGCAATTCCGCCCGCCGTCACATGCGTTGTCGCCGAGAGCCCTCCACCGCTTCGTAGAGGAGATCGACGTCGAGCATCAACGTCACCACGCGAGCTGCCTGCAGCTGCCATCGACCGCTGCACCCGCGCCTGTATCCCGTCGACGCCACCGTCGACCTTGATCACCCCCCGTCTACCTCGTGCCTTCGCTGCCGTTGACTCGAGCACCGCCGTCAACCTCGTCGTCGACGCCATCCTCGTTTCGCACCGGTCAAGGAGATGCAGGACGGGAAGGGTGTTCCGTCGCCCACTGCGACCGGATGCCCAACTCGACGATCACCAAGGGGATCGTCCCGTACTCGCCATCCGCGTGGCGTCTCCTCGCATCAGCCAGTCGTGCCTCCAAGGTATCCGCTACGCCCGCATCAATTACGGGGTCGACCATGGCGACTAACGCTGCTGCCGGCCTACGAACGACTTAGTAGGTGCAAAAGTCGGCTCCTATCTGAAGGTAAGTTGCGGGGCCGTCCACGCTCACCGAACCATGCGGAGATACACTCTACAACGGTAGTGAGCTAGACTACGGGGGTTGGTACGAACTACTAGGAGTGATCGTAGCGTTGCTTGTGTTCCTTAGCGCTTGCACATTCACGGGAGAAATTGGCAAGAGTTTCCACTAGCAAAGGTTGAGAATACAGAATGATTGAACAAGCAATGACAGAATAACTACATCAGACATCTAGCAACTCTGCAGCTAGCCTGGTCGACCGCCAGCACACCATGGTAGACCGCGTGCCAGCGTTGCGTAGAGGAGCCGCGCCAGCACTGCAGAAGAGCGACCTGCCAGCATTATAGGTCGACGGCGTGCCAACGCTGCAGCAGAGCGGCTGTCCAGCGTTGCCCCGTAGAAGACAGCAGTGCGCACGCTTGCAGGTGCGCGCAGACGATTGGCCCGACTTGCTTCGTTGTGGATCCGTCGGCTGTTGTCTGCGCTTGACGAGCCACATCGACTTCGGGATACCATCCCGAAGTCGCCTTCGCCATCGCGACCTCGACGACGTTCGCGTGCCTCCGCAGAACTCGTCGAGCAGGTTACCCGGTCGACCCGGACACCACCAGGTGCTCCAGTCGACCACCAGTGCCTCCGGTCGACCACCAGGTGCCTCTGGTCGACCACAGCTCCCTTTGTTCGACCACCAGATGCCCCTGGTCGACCATGTTATAGTCACAATAGGCTTGAATGTGCCTAAAACGAAAGATAGAGAGCACAGACGGATTTCTGCACAGCGGCTTCAAACGTTGATAGCGTTCTGCTCACAGCTGCAAATGACTTGATTCAAATTGGATCTGGAGCGTCTTCACGTCGTCTACAATTAGCAATTTAGATTGCACGATTTTATAAAGAATTGACGACACAGCGTCGGTTTGAACGAACGGTACTATGGCAGCCACTATAGTCTTAGAACACAAGATAGGAAGAGTTACGAGTTGGGAATGACTCCCAGCTCCTACAAACCCCAAGAGCCGAGGTACAGTGATGTGGAACAGTGCCACACTGTCCCCAACCACGAAGGGTCTCGAAACTACCCTTCACTAGGGCCTACACCAAGTGGAATGTTACACTACACAAAGTAATGTAACTATCTTCAATATCTTGAGGTGTACCCTTTTGGCAAGCTTCGAAATCACTTGAGGCTTGACACCAAGGCTCGGGCTCTTCATCACAAGCTCATCCTTGAGTTCTTGATGGGTCTGCTGCACACACCTGCGACACGCCGAACGTTCGACACAGGACAAAATAGAAACCGCGCACGACAAAATAGAAACCGCGCGCGAGACACAAACGACCGCGTAACAAGCGTCTAGCGATAACTCGCTATTGACTCGACACACACACTCGACATCATGACTCAACATTCACACACAATTATAAGCATGAAATATATATTATCCCATGCCCTCATACCATTCCATACACACACACATTCACGCACACGGACAACAGGCCGAGTGCAAACCGTAGGGTTGCACCAACAGACCACAGATCCCGTCGAGCTACCCCCTGGTCGACGGACCCCCTTCCGTCGACCAGAACTGCTCCGTCGACCTCCCGGTCGAGCAGCAGGTCGACGGGATGCTTCGCGGACCTCCCGGTCGACCTGTAGGCCGACGGGATGTTCCGCAGACCTCCCCGTCGAACTGTAGGTCGACGGACTGCTCCGTCGACCTCCCGGATGGCCCACCCGTCGCCCAGGCCAGTCAGTTGCAGCTGTCGAGCTCCCTGGTCGACAGCAACGCCACAGCGGTCCCCTGCAGCTCGACGTAGCCTGTCGAGCAGCTCTCCCACTGTGAATGGTCGGCTGCTACTCCCGTACATCCGACCAAGTCGTCGGCGTTGCCCAAGCGAGGGCGGGGCCAACACTCCATTCCCGTTAACACATGCCGCCCCTACGGCGGTCCGCAATGACCCTGGGCTTCTGCTCATCGGACTGGACTTAGAGGTGGAGACTTGGACTTGCGTGCTGTGCGAATTCCAGTGTGGCCACGCACTCGATAGTGTGATGGCACACATCGCTTCCCCCACCCATTCGGCTCGACAGCGGGCCACCGCTCACCTCCCGGCTGCCAAGGAGAAGTACAGCACCTGGCGCGCTATGACGCTGCTCGAGACACCGCGTATCGCAGAGTTCCTGCGTGCCTAGCATTTCAGGCTGCGACGTTTATGCTACCCCTTCTTCATCGGTGTGGTTGCCTATGCTTTCTGCTGTCTTTCTTGTCGCTTTTGCTTGTCCCACCTATATATAATAATGCGAATCAGGGGCACTGGCTTGCCTCTCACACTCATCCCTTCTCTTATCGCGCATCAATTCACTACCCCTGTGGATCCATGTTTTTTCGAATGCGGGGGGTCCCTACATCTATTGAATGAGAACCTACATCCGTTTGCTAACACTCAACGTTAATGGTATCAACCACGCATATAAAATGAACTGCTTAAAACAATGGATTTCTTCCCACGCTGTTAAAGTTGATATTCTTGTCCTTGTTGACACACGCTTGACTTCAAATATCCATAAACTCACACTCACTTTTCGCCCCAAGGATGCCGCTCATGCACCCTCCTTCACTACTTCAACACACCCAGCACCCGGTGGTATCTCTGTCCTAATCTTTAACAAGGCTATCACCATCTCCTCACATGCACCTTCTCTTGACGGTAGACTCCTCTCGGTCCACCTGAACTATCTACATGAGCAAATGCGCCTAATCGCAATCTACGCCCCTACAGCTACTATCGCTCGTCGAATGTGGTGGCGGTCCACTCTCTCCTCTGCCCTAGAAGCCCCATCGTCGGCCGCCTTTACTATCCTCGTAGGCGATTTCAACTCGGTTGACTGTGCCCTTGATCGCAATCGTCTGCTGCATGGGCATGAGCGCAGTGAAGCAACCTTGTTTTCCACCCTCATGGCGCGGCACTCCCTCGCCGACTCATTCCGTCTTCTTCACCCCAACGTAACGCTCCTCTTTTTTTAGTCGCCAACGATCCACTGCCTCCCCTTCAGCACCCCCTCCAGCAGCCCGTCTGGATCGTATCTATATCTCCCGCACTGCGCAACACCGTCTCTCTGCCACCCCTTATATTCTCACTCCCTCTGGTGTTTCGGATCATGCTCTGGCCCCACTTTGTTCCCTCCTGTTTGATAATCCAATGATCGCTCCAAGGCATTGGCGCCTTAGTACGTCCCTCCTACACCGACCCGCTCTCCCTCGCATCATTGATGATCATCTTAGTCTCCTCCCCCCCTCTCCCTTCCCTATCGACTGGGATCTGTGGAAATTCAGCCTCTGCCTCACCCTCAAACGATTCTCTTCCCACGAGCGACAACGCGTCTCTAAATCTATGGACCACCTACGTCAACTGGTCTGCACCTTGCAGCTCCAAGTAGCTACTCAATCATCTGTTCCCTCGGTTACAAACTCTCTCCTACGCGCCAAACAACAACTTGCTTCATATGAGGCTTCGAAAACGGCAGAAGTGGCCCTAAAAGCGAAACTTAAAGTTGAAAGTCATAGGAAAATGGGGCTCTCATCCCTGCTAGTCGGTCTTGGCACACGCTCCAAAGCCTCTCTCATTTCGTCCATCACTATGCCAAACAAACAAGCCACCACGGATCTACCCACGATGACCATGATTTGTACCAATTTTTTTAAATCCCTCTATAGTGGACGAACCTGTATTTCGAGGGATGCTTCCTTTTGGCAACACATTCCCCATCTACCCTCATCTCTTCCCCCCTCCCAACCCCACCGCCTCGCCCTCGCCCTCACCTGCGCCCTCGCCTGCGCCCTTGCCTGCGCCCTCCCCTGCGCCCTCCCCTGCGCCCTCCCCTGCGCCCTCCCCTGCGCCCTCCCCTGCGCCCTCCCCTGCGCCCTCCCCTGCGCCCTCCCCTGCGCCCTCCCCTGCGCCCTCCCCTGCGCCCTCCCCTGCGCCCTCGCCTGCGCCCTCGCCTGCGCCCTCACCTGTGCGCTCACCGGGCTCCTCGCCCATGAATAGTCGCGTTCCCTGTGACACACGCACTCGCACTGCTGCCGCTGCTGCACTGGCCGATGGTGCTGCTGCCGCCCCTGCCACTTCCATCCACATGCGTGGAGAACCCTTGGCACCACTCCCCCCAGCAGCACCACCACCAGCACCCACTGCTACGGCCGCAAACTGCTCCCCACTGTCCTCTCGTTGCCCCTCCTCCCACCCCTCGCCTGTGTACCACACGCCATTCACCTGCTGCCCCTCGTCCTCCCCCCGTCAGCCACCGCCGCACCACTCACCCTGCCACAGCCACTCGCCACCTCATGCCACGTCACCATCGCCCCACGCACCCCTCCCCACTGTCCCCTCCGTCCTTCCTGCCTCCCGTGCCCCCGCCGCTTTCCCTACTGCTGCTGCGCCTAAGCCAGCAGGCACACAAGGAGCGGCCTCAGCAACCGCAACAGCAGAGGGGGCAGTGCTCGCACCCCAAGCGAGGCCCTCGGCCATGCCGTCACCACCCTCCCCTGCCCCGTCTCCTCTCCCCAGCGCGCTAGCAGCGGTGCCTCGTACAGATGTAACAGGTCACTGGTGTAGCAGGATGGCGTCAGGGCATGGCGCACTGCACATGGCACGCAGCTCGGCACTCGCAGGCAGTGCAGTGGGGCGGGGCAGCACGGGGTGTGCAGGTGCAAGCGAGCATGCGGGGAGGTGCGCAGCAGAGGAGGGCAGTGTTGAGTTGCACCACTCACGCGCGGCACACCTCTGCTGCCCACCCCAACGTGCACGCATGCACCACCGCCTCGCACCGCAGCACACCGCTGCTCCACCGGGTGGTAAAGTGCCGCTGACTCCACCTGCCTCTGAAACCCCCTCCCTCACTCCGCCAACCCCCCAACCCGCCTCCCTCCCCACCCCATCCCCGCACCCGTCCCCACTCCCATCGCCGCCAAACCTGCCCGCCCACCCTCCGCCGCCCGCACCGCCATCCTGGAAGCACCTCGCGCCGCCCGAATGGCACGCAGCCCCATGCGGTGCATCGCTGGCGATGGTGCAGGCGGGCGGCAGCGACGTGCGCATCTGGGACGTGCGGGACGGGGGCGTGGCGGTGAGCATGCAGACAGAGGGCGCGGTGGAGCGCATGGCGTGCTGCTCTCCTATTCTGTGGCTGGACGAGGAGCGCCTCGTCGTCGTGGAGGAGGGCGGCAGCGTGGGGCTGTGGCACGTGGCGGGTGGCGAGGCAGTGCTTTTCCACCACGTGCAGCTGCTGGACCCGTGGGGCGAGGCTGAGCGCGTGTGCGCCGTTGCTGTCATGCCGGGGCGGCGCTGCAACAAGCGCCTCTTCCCCTCGCTGTCAGTGCTGCTGCCTGCGCTCATTGCACTGTGCCTACTGCATCCATCGCTGCGTCATTCGCTCAACCCCTTTTTTCCTTCTTCTCACTGTGTGCGCTCGCTGATGTCCGGCTCCCCCTGCTGCCCTGCTCTCCCGTGGACCACGGTGTGGCAACATGACCCCATGGCACGGCATGGCAGGAGGGGCGAGGGAGTGACATGTGCAGTAGCAAGCGAGAGCGCGGTGTACCTGGCGGACTGGAGCACCCCGGCTGTCATCCTCCACCGCATCGCCTCCTCCCACGCCCGCCCGCCAGGTCAACCCTTCTTCTCCCCTCGCCTTGCCTCGCATGCTGCATGTGCATGGATGGTGCATGCGCATGGATGGTACATGTGCATGTATGCTGCACATGCTTACTAGCAGCTTGTGGTGCTCGACCTTTGCCATTCTCCATCCTCCCCCCACCACCCCACTCATCTGCACCCCCCACTCATCTGCGCCCCCCACTCATCCCCGCCCCCCACTCATTCCCCATCTGCCCACCCCCCCACCCTCCACCACCACTCCCAGACGCCATGTGTTTCGCGGGCACGTCTCTCTTTGTGGCGCTGCCCTCGCTGCCGCATGAAGACTTTGCCGCCGTGCAGGTGAGTGCACGTGGGTCAGAAGATGAGAGCACATGGGCCAACTCCTTCCGCCACTGCAATCAGCGTTTCATCTCCCTGCCTCCTCTCCATCATCCAACTGCCACTCTCTCAGGTCCCCACCCGACCCTCCCTCCCACCCCCTGTCCGCACGGCCCTACAGCGCATAGAGTGCATCAGCGGGCGGGAGGGTGAGCGGTACCACCTGGACTCGCACGTGCCGCGCGCCAGCAGAGGGCCGCTGCTCACCGTGCGCGTGCACGCCGGGCGGCTGTTTGCACTGCATGCGGGCGGCGTGCACGTGTTCCGCCTGCACCGGGCGGCGCAGCGGGGCGGAGGAGCGGGGGCAGGCAGGGGTGCGGGCGGGGATGGGGGGTATGAGGTGCGGGGGCGGGGTTACCTGCAGCAAAGGGCAGGGCAGGGGAGGAGAGGTAGAGACAGATGTGGGAGTGCAATGGCGGGCGTGGCAGCAGCGACCACGCAAGCCCCTGTGCAGAGAGCGGTTGAGTGCGGTGCGACGGTGACGGGAAGAGAGAGCGGAGGGGCAGAGAAAGAAGCAGCGGTGGTGCTCCGTCCCCAGGCATGGCACAGTGGTGCTGCTGAGGGGTCTGAGGGCACACCCGGCAATGAGGGGGAGCAGGGAAGAGAGAGCGGTTATGGAAGGGAGGAGGGGTATGAAACAGAGGAGGGTGTGGATGGGCAGGAGGGTGAAGGGGGGCAGGATGGCATTGCGAGGGCCGTGGAGTGTGACAGCGGTGGTGGTGGAGATGGTGGTGGAGTGGGAAGTGGGGGGAGCGAGGGGGTGGAGGAGCGGAGGCTGGTGGGGGTGGTGGGCAGGCGGGTGAATGGGCTGCTGCACCCGGCCATGGATGTGGTTGGGGATAGGCTGCTGCTCGTCTCTGCTAACCATCCGCCATGTCTGTATTCATGTCCCTGATTGTTTATTGTATTTATTATTTCCAATCAATCACAAGCACACCCCAAATTTCAAACAAAACCAAGGTGACATGGGACTGAGGGGAATGGTGCGGTCTCAATAGAAGCACATGTGCAGTACGATATTGCCCTAAGAATGTCCACGTCCAAGCCCAGGAACGAAGCCCATTCTGGTGGCTCCTCTTATCCCCGTAAACATTCTTATCTTATCCAGGAATTTTGCTTGATTGTAGAACCTGGCACGTGGCCATATGGGAGTTCCCTCCCATCCCATGCCTCACTTTTTGTGTCAAGTACATGATGTGTACGCAATCATTCTGTTGAACCGTTTCACACCACTCATTGTGCATGCATCAGCAAGCAACCCTTTGGAGGCAACAAAATCAATCTCGGTATCCCTAGCAAGCAACAGAGAACCAACCACCCCAACATGATCCCCTTTAAGCTACCCGGCGGTACATGGTCCTTTCATCATCCAGCTCCAGCCCATACATGCTGTACACGCCACGAGGCTGCACCATGTCTTCACTGTCAAGCAGGTGCGTGCAATCCCTCGCTCCCAGGTAGCGCAGCATCCTCAGCTCCATCACATCATGCGGCAGGGCTTCCAAATGCTCACAGCCATTCACACTCAGTCGCCTCAGCCTGGCCAGCCTAGCGAATCCGGAAGGGAGGGAGAGAATGCCGGTGTATGAAGCATCTAGCTCCTGGAGGCATGTGAGGTGGGTGAGGGAAGCAGGCAGCTGCTGCAAGGCCCTGCATCTGGACACGTCCAGCTTGCACAGCCGAGTCAACGCACCGATGCCACCAGGGAGACACACTAGCCTACATCGTATAACCTCCAACGACGTCAAACACTGCAGCTCACACACGCTTGCCGGAAGCTCTGTCAAAGACAACTGCTCAACTTTCAGCCTCCTCAGCCGCGGCACAGACGATCCAATGCATTCGGGAAGCCTCGTAAGATCCGCATAATCGTAGGGAAAGAAATTGGGAGATCCCAAAAGGAGGAGGGTGTGGAGGTGTGGGAGGACTGGAAAGGGTGAGGGGAGATCCTCAGCATGCCCCGCTGGTACCAACTGGAGTCGCCTCAGCCGAGATGCTCCCATGGCAACCGCCAGGCTGCTTCCAGCACCAACATTCCTGAGCTTGAGATTCCTCAGGTGTGGCATTCTGGGCATGTCGAAGCAAGGAGCATGCTGGTTGTAACTCGGCATGGTTAAGATCTCCAGAGAAGGGGGGAGGGATGCAGGAGGTTCAGCCAGCCTTCTGTTCAAATCGTCAATCAGCTCCAGCCGCTTCAGTCTCGTGAGAGCATCCAACCTTGGAATTGAAGAGAGCTGTTCACAACCATCAATCCTTAGGATCTCCAACGCAGTGAGGCGGGAGAAGGAGTCTGGAAGTGCCGTAAGATGAAAGCAGGAACACATGTGCAGGTGCTGCAGGTTACTCAGCATCCCTATGTCCTCAGGAAGCTCTGTAAACTGAAAGTGCTTGAGCTCAAGCCTTGTCAGGGCAGAGAGTTGCGTCAGAGAAGATGGGAGCAGCCGCTGCGCCTCGCAATTACCTTCCAGAAGAAGCGTTTTCAGGTTACTGAGCCTTCCAATGTCGTCTGGATACATCAATACCTGCGACTGCCCAAGGTACAGTGTCTCCAGTGCAGTAAGGCAGCTGAATTCGTCTGGTAGCTGGTGGATCCGTTGGCAATAGAGGAGCGAGAAGAATTTCAGCGAGGTGAGCTGGCAGAGCGAGTCAGGGAGGTCTGTGAGCGGCAACAAGTGTAGCTCCAAGTGCTTGAGAGCCGGAAACGCTCCCAAGTTGCTTGGAAGCCTGGAAAACACATCGCACCAAGAGATGCGCACTTTCTCTAGCCGTCTGAGGGAGGCCAACTCATCTGGCAGCTCGGTCAAGCGATTGCAGAAGGTCAGCTCCAACTCCCGCAGACACCGCATCAACTCTCCAATGTTAGGGCGGAAACGCTCGATACGATTAGGGGAGCCAATTTCCAGCCGTTGGAGGTTGGTGCCTAGATTGATCGAAGAGAACAAGTGGTAGAATGCCTTGCCGTGGCCATTGACTTCCAATGACCTCAGACTGCGTAGCTTAAGCGATGGGTAAGAAGTAGGGGCGACATCAGGCTGAGACCGAACGGTCTGACGAGATATTGTAAGACTAATAAGGTTTGAGAGATGACGGAGGCCTAAGAACTGCTCAGGACTGAGGTTCGGGGAGGCTATGTGGAGAGTGGAGAGCGAACTGAGATTGGCTAAACCGGGAGCCTCTAGTGCAGATGCGGTCGTGAGGAGGAGGGTGCGCAGATGAGTGAGTTGGAAGAAGGAAGGTGGCATGTTGACATCTTTGTGCAGGCAGAAGAGAGAAAGCTGCTCCAGTCGTGGACATTGGGTAAAGAACCGATCTAAACCGGCTTCAGTTATTGTATGCGAATTCCCTGGGTGGTTGCTCTCGTCATCATAGTAGTATAGGTTGATCTTGCTTCCCACGTGAAGAACCCTGAGCTTAGGGCAGGCGGAGGCGAGGTGGGTGAGGAAGGCGTCGTCTACCATCTCCACGCTGCCGTCGTTCAAGTGAAGGTGGGTCAGATTCGGAAAGCGAGTGATGGCGTTTGCGAGATCTTCGCGGGAAACAAGTAGATCCTTTCGGACAGAAAGGCTGGTAACGTGTCGCCGAGCGAGATCGCGCCAGTCACGGCAAACAGAAGCTACAAGGAGATTCCAGGCGGTGCCTGCAGAAGCAGGAGGCGCGGGTATGGGAGTGATGCTGTTCTCAGGTGATCCAACATAACGACTTGGCTCCGGACTCAAGCACTCATAAGCGTCATCCTCAAAATCGTCAGTTATGGGCTGGTTGGAGGGAGATAGAATCTTGACAAGGAGGTGAGTCGGAAGAGAGCTTATATGCGTGCGCTTCATACTGCGAGATCGAGCAGTTGGTACTAATCTGGACGCTGATTTCTAAAGATCAACGGGAAGTACGGGCTCGCGTTTCAAGAAGAGATGAAGATCGAGAGGTACTTATTTCGACTACTGTACTCCCAACATTCACACTTCCAACTATGAGCCTCGCTACCTGGTTCATTTAGTCTGCTTGTCTTGGGTTTCTAGCTGCGATCCTAGGTTGTAGATCTACAAGAGTGGCGCTCGCTGGATCTGCCGAGGTGAATTTCGTGACGGGTCTGACGAAAATATCAGCGCGGTTACCATCCGCAAGTTGATAACGCGAAATCGTGAAACACATTTCGCCAGAGGGGGACGAAAATTTCATGTTTGACTGCTAGCAAGTTCCCAACATGTTCTGCTTAGCGAAACGAGCCCTGGGCCTCGAAGACCTTGAGCGAAAATACGGATTGGCATACAAAGCGGTAACCCTAGCGAGCGGCATCCCCAGAAAGTTGGAAGCCTCTCCCTCAGCCCATGTTGGAGAACTGTCAGACAGTTTGGGGGAAGAAATTGCTCTTGCCAGAAAGCTTCAGATCTCTTCACTGAGAGCTGCGCTTGAGAGCGTCTGGAGGAGTGTCGCGAGCTGCATGTGGAACTGACTACGAGCTCGCGACGTGGTCAAGCCACGTGTAGACTCGGCTGCTGCTGAAAGCACGGGTCCAGCTGAAATCGCGTTTTATTAGCCGCGGCGCACGCATTCTGAGCGACCCAGCGTTGTTTCAGGTGAGCGGGAGGATTTACATTCGCAACAACGGCTGCTCCTAGCTTGGTCTGTCTTAAGTCATAAAGAACACACGAAACTGATCTTAAGTGCCCTTCGACACTATCGTATGCTCGTGGAAGCCGTGGTATACAAGCATACTCGCATCTCAGGCATTTGGCTTTCTCAAGGTTGTGTTGAGCTTCACTTGAGCAGCCAGTCCGTGCGTACGACTGTCAGCATGGCGTCCAGTGGAACCCACATCCATGATCTCCCCGACGACGTGCTTATCAGGATCTTATGGCCTTCCGAACAGTTGATCTCGTGCAGATCTAATAGCAATGACCTGCGGAGCGCAGTGGGGCACAGGCCCACGTACCTCGTCGCGGACGCTACTTCAGAAGAGGCCTGGCGTATGCGAGGGGATACTCCCGTGCCGACCGCCTCCGCAGATGCCTGCCTCTTCATTGCGTCCATCTGTCGGCGCTGGCGGGATCTCGCTAAGAGGCACGTCTCGTCGCTGCTGGTGAAGGAGGGCCGCGCCGTGTCTCACCGCGATGTGCTCAACGCCGTCGCTTTCTTTCCCCGGCTGACCCATCTGCACCTGGCGGATTTGAGCGTTGAATCGCTGGACGACGCGTTTCTAGCTGACCTCGCCTCTTCGTGCCCTTGGTTGAGAGCGCTGCACGTGGGGATGCTAGCGGCGAATGGGGGACCGCATGGAAGCAATGAGCGCGTGATCACCGAATCTGGCTTGGATCATTTCTTCCGCCAGTGCGCTCAACTGGAGCATCTGTCGCTGTACTCATCCCGTGTGTCCACTCTGCCCGAGAGCTTTGGGGATCTTCCAGCTTTGAAGGCGCTGGTGCTGCGCCAGCTGCCACTGCTCCGTCTCCCTGCTTCCTTCACCCGACTCGCATCTCTGGAGTCGTTGCTTCTCGTTGGGTGCAAGGAGCTGCTGGAGCTACCTGCAGGGTTTTGCTGCCTCACAGCACTCCAGACTCTGAGCCTGGCATGTTCGCCCACCCTGCACCTTCCAGAAGACTTGGGTGCCCTGACCAATCTGCGAACCTTTGATCTTCAGGATAACAGACAAGAGCAGCTGCCGTCCTCATTCACGCAGCTGGCGTCGCTGACCCGGTTGGAGCTGGACGGGTGCGAGATTGCAGAGTTTCCAGAGGGCATGGTGGAGATGACAAGCCTGCAGGGCTTTACTTCTGGAACTGCTGTTGAGTCGACTCAAAACCTGCAGGGCTTTGCTTCTGGAACTGCTCTTTTAGGGAGCTTCCAGAGCTTGTGACGGCGCTCGTCAGCCTTCAAGTACTGAGGATTGAAGCGTGTCCCAATCTCTCTTCCATTCCCACGAGGCTGGACAGCCTTAACAAGCTGACGCAGTTGCGGGTGAGGGGCTGTTGCGAGCTGAACGAAGCCCCTCGGGCTCTGCCGCTCAGTCTCCAAGCCTTGTCATTCAGTAACAATGGGGAGGTAGCGTCTATGCTAGACATTTCAGCACTCACAGGGCTGAGGGAACTGTGCTTGGCCTTTGTGTATGCAACTCGTCTTGAGGCCATCAGTGCCCATCTCCCTAACATGGAGCACCTGGAACTGGTGCTGGAAGAAGAAGCAGAGAAGTCTCTGTCCCTGCTGGCAAGGCTTCCCCACCTCCGCACCTTGATGCTCACGGAGGTCGGCAGTGTGAGCAATCTGGTGGAACCTGGTGGCTCGGCATTGCAGGAGCTGCAGCAGCTGAACATCTACACTAGGTCTGAGAGATTCACAGAGCTGCCTGACGCCATCACCACTCTCCACCACCTCACATCCCTTCAGATCCACGCGCCGAAGTTATCATCTCTCCCGTACGCCTTTGGGGCATTGTTAAGGCTGCGCAAGCTGGACTTATCCTTCTGCTCTTCGCTCGCTCATTTCCCTGATTCCCTCACACAGCTCTCTTGCCTGCATGAGCTGAACCTCTGCGACGCCAGCATCCGCCTGCTTCCTGCTGGCTTTGCTAACCTCAGCAGACACAAGAAGCTTCATCTGGATCAATGCGAGCAGCTGGAGGCTCTGCCGGGCGACTTATGTGATCTTAGAATGCTTGATGACTTGAACACTAGGAGGTGTGTTATGCTCCAACGCTGAAGGTGCTTTTCACCTCTCATATGTTAGGTCCGTAGTTAGTGTGAGTACATGCCAGCACACTGAGGCTCCACTACAATCTAGTTTGAAGTGGTTTAAAAACTTTTCCTTTGAATTCTGCGTACAAGTCAGTGAACTACTTTCCAGGTAGTGAACTACTAGATGCTATGGGTAACAGTGACAGGGAAGTGCGAAAGCAGAGAAATCTCCATACATGCATTCATCTCATCGCACAAGTCGTACAAGGAAGGGGACACAAGTGGAGGGCGCAGGGGGGAGGTGGAAAGATGTTGCGTGAAGAGAGGGTGAGGAGAAACGGGAGGATGAAGGGAGTGGGGGAAGAGGGCAGGAGGGAGGGGAGAATGGAAGCTGGGCTGTAAAATACTTTTTTTGGCTTCGTGTAATGGCCACGTCTTATCAATATTCAAGTAGGTTAAACTGCAGATAATGGTAGATCAGGTTATGCATTGCCATCTCATGTGCTGGCATGTGCATGTGCTGGCATGTGCATGTGCTGGCATGTGCATGTGCTGGCAATTGAAGTAGTGGCGACATTATGTTCCCTTTTCCCTTTCCCCTTTCCCCTTTCCCCTTTCCCCTTTCCCCTTTCCCCTTTCCCCTTTCCCCTTTCCCCTTTCCCCTTTCCCCTTTCCCCTTTCCCCTTTCCCCTTTACCCTCCTGCCACTCCGTTTTTGTACCGATTTTCTCTCTCTGAACAACCTTCCCATATTCCCGCCCCCACCTTGGTTTTCGTCACCTGCCTCCTCATTGTGCAGCATTGCCTGCACGCTGTGCCCTTCCAGCTGAAGCCACCTCACTCGGCTCACAGTCCTGGTTTGCCACATGCAGACCTTGTCAAATGTTCATGCTAAAGCCCATCCATGCATGACCATGCAATGCAACTCATCATCATCCTTGCATGGCTATCACAATTCCACGATTTCCGTGGCCATGGTACAAGTTCATGCATGGTCACGTGCATGCATGCATGCACCACATCATACATACACATCATCAAGCACACTCAAATGGCGGTGCGTTGGACGACTTTGGCATGTCTCCTTACATCACAGGTGAAGGTGATGATGCTCCCATACTCCCGTCTTCTCTCATCCCCACCACTCCTCTCATAACCTCCCACTCCTCCCATACCCCCACTCCTCTCATACCCCCCTCCTCTAATTTCCAACACTCCCTAATATCCCATTCCTCTCACACCCCCACTCCCACTCCTCTCGTTACATCCTCACCATACTACTCTTTTGCACGATCCCCTGTCTATCCCCACACCCTCTCCCTCCCCCACTTCTCCCCCTCCCTCTACCCCTCCACCACAGCACAGACGGCCGCCCCTTGGTACCAAGCAAGGCACTGCCTGGCAAGCAAGGCACTGACTGCCAAGCAAGGCACTGACTGCCAAGCAAGGCACTGACTGCCAAGCAAGGCACTGACTGCCAAGCAAGGCGCTGACTGCCAAGCAAGGCACTGACTGCCAAGCAAGGCACTGACTGCCAAGCAAGGCACTGACTGCCAAGCAAGGCACTGACTGCCAAGCAAGGCGCTGACTGCCAAGCAAGGCACTGACTGCCAAGCAAGGCACTGACTGGCAAGCAAGGCACTGACTGCCAAGCAAGGCACTGACTGCCAAGCAAGGCACTGACTGGCAAGCAAGGCACTGACTGGCAAGCAAGGCACTGACTGCCAAGCAAGGCACTGACTGCCAAGCAAGGCACTGACTGGCAAGCAAGGCACTGACTGCCAAGCAAGGCACTGACTGGCAAGCAAGGCACTGACTGCCAAGCAAGGCACTGACTGCCAAGCAAGGCACTGACTGCCAAGCAAGGCACTGACTGCCAAGCAAGGCGCTGACTGCCAAGCAAGGCACTGACTGCCAAGCAAGGCACTGACTGCCAAGCAAGGCACTGACTGCCAAGCAAGGCACTGACTGCCAAGCAAGGCGCTGACTGCCAAGCAAGGCACTGACTGCCAAGCAAGGCACTGACTGGCAAGCAAGGCACTGACTGCCAAGCAAGGCACTGACTGCCAAGCAAGGCACTGACTGGCAAGCAAGGCACTGACTGGCAAGCAAGGCACTGACTGGCAAGCAAGGCACTGACTGCCAAGCAAGGCACTGACTGGCAAGCAAGGCACTGACTGGCAAGCAAGGCACTGACTGGCAAGCAAGGCACTGACTGCCAAGCAAGGCACTGACTGCCAAGCAAGGCACTGACTGCCAAGCAAGGCACTGACTGCCAAGCAAGGCACTGACTGCCAAGCAAGGCACTGACTGCCAAGCAAGGCACTGACTGCCAAGCAAGGCACTGACTGGCAAGCAAGGCACTGACTGGCAAGCAAGGCACTGACTGCCAAGCAGGGCACTGACTGGCAAGCAAGGCACTGACTGGCAAGCAAGGCACTGACTGCCAAGCAAGGCACTGACTGGCAAGCAAGGCACTGACTGCCAAGCAAGGCACTGACTGGCAAGCAGGGCACTGACTGCCACTGACTCTTGAGTTACAAAGCAGGGTCTGCGGAAAAGGGCAGACTGTCAATGCGTGAGGGAGGGAGGTGTGACGGGATGGTGGGAGAGTGGTGGGCCGCGAGGCGTGGATAGATGGTGGTGGAGTGGAGGACGGAGATAAAGAAGAGGGGGATTGGTGACAAGAAGGATACAGAGAGAGGGAATGTGGTCGAGCAAGAGGAGGGCCACGAAGAGGATGGTGAGGGGAGGAGGAGGAGGATTGGGCAGAGCTGCTGGAAGTAGTGGCTGGTGTGATTGGGGGGGTGCAGGCGATGCAGGCGATTGCCAGCCCTGTGAGCGTCATGGTGGATGGTGGCAAGGAGAGCAGCAGAGTGGGTGGTGGTGGTGGCGTGGAGGAAAGGGTGGCGAGGCAAAGAGTTATGAATGCAACAAGAGGAGAAACTGGGTGCTGATTGCTGATTTGCGCATCACTTATCACTTGACATGGGTGAGTGTTGCCACGCCGGACATGATTCCAGCATGCACCATTGTTCATTATCGTGAATAGTCCCTCCCAGGTGTTCTGTGCTGTTACATTGTGCATTGACATAGTCCTTTTCACTTGTACTCGCGGCTGCTAATGCTGCTGGTCCTCGCATGGTCGCATCAGGTTCCTTGAGTGCAGAAGCGATGCATGACTGAGAGGTGAGTGGGAGAACGTGTCAGTGGGGGTTGGGAGGGAAGTGCGTCAGCAGTGAATGGCTGTTTCTACTGCATACTCAGAGAGAAGTGCCATGGCTTTGATAACTCTATTGTGCATCATTCATGCTACCACCCCCTCTACCCCTCGTCAACCATGCTGGCACCCAGTAGTCAATCCTTCTCATCTGAGCCTTCCAGAACGGTACCATAGCAGGATGACACTACGGCAATAGAACTCTGTACTGTTCCACAGTTTCAGATGGTGTTTAATTATACTTTTGCACGTGTATGGACTACGTTGTTAAAGAGGCAAGTTGTCTTCACATGACCCACGCCTGCACCACTCCATACTTTCCCGCACCACACCATGCTTGCCTTCACTTCCTAAAGTCTATTCATCCACGCAAACCTTTTGCCACTCCTTGCTCTGAAGTTTCTGCCTTATTTCCTTTGAACTTTCTTGCAGCAACCAGTGGCTGCCATTCCATTCCAACCTCTGTTGCAGGTACAAGTCTACAGGCGTTCAGATGCAGTGCATGAGGGCACTCGTGGACCTCCAGCCGTGTGAGCGATCCAGCTGCGTGAACGAGGGCGGAAGCAGTGGACGTGTGCTGTACGACTTCAGGACGAGCGTGTGCAGGTTGGCGAGTGCTCCCATGTCGCCAGCGCCAGCCACGCCCTGGGAGGACCTGCATGCTCCCTGCTGCCGCGCTCACCGAGCGCCTGCCACGCCGCTGCAACGGCGGACGCTGTGTGGGGGCGGCTGCGGGGGTGGCCGTGAGCCTACAGCGCCAGCCCGTTGCACCTGCCGCTTTCGCACAATGCCCGTCGCTGCACCTGCTGTCGCTGCACCTGCTGTCGCTGCACCTGCTGTCGCTGCACCTGCTGTCGCTGCACCTGCTGTCGCTGCACCTGCTGTCGCTGCACCTGCTGTCGCTGCACCTGCTGTCGCTGCATCAGCCGTCGGCCCGTCGCTGCCTGCTGTAGCCGCCGCACCTGATGCCGCTATCTGTCGCCGTTGAATCTGCCAACGCTGCACTGGCCTGCCACCGTATCTTCCGCTGTACATTTCTCTTATTCTGCCTTCTCCTGCTAGAATGGTGGACCCTTTCAGTGGGTGTTGTTGTAACCAGTTGTTGATGCAGGCAGGGGTGTGTCGACGATCTACTTGCTGAGTATAGCTGTTTGCCTACCCTATGGGTGGTGCACCTAGCCTGCCCTACCATTCTTCTCTTCTCTTAAAAGTGAAACCCCTCTCTCCTCTTCCCATCTTCCTAAGACCCTACATTTGACAGAATCTTGTTTGCCTCCGACTAAAGGCGGTTTCATGCATGTGGGACAAGATAATTCTCATGGCATGGCTACAAATGCTGTGCTGAAATGAAAGCACGTGACGTGAAGGGCAAGGAACAAGCATGGTGGGGATATGCAGTGAGTGGAGTGGAGTCAGCTATCCCACCTTGGATGCGTCCAACAACCTCTTCACCACCCAAGCACTAATCTAGCAATCTATGCTTACTCCGAGTAGTCATAGAAGGTCTTAGCGATATGCAATCCACGCATGCCGTCAAGGCACTCAGTGTCAAGGTCATCAGCACACCCTGTGATGGTCAAGCTATGAAGCATCGTGAGCTGGGAGATATCCCTTGGCAACGCTACCAGCTGCTTGCACCCATGCAGGTCAAGAGTCTTGAGCCGACGCAGCCGTCCAAAGTGGCGAGGCAGGGAGTGCAGGGAGGTGCAGCGCAGGTTCAGGTCGTGCAGGCAGGAGAGCTGCGTGAGGGAAGCCGGGAGCTCTGCAAGTGCCGAGCAGTTGGCCAGATTCAGCCGACGCAGTCGAGTCAAGGCGCCGATACCATCTGGTAGGGAGGGGAGGAGAACTCGGGAGCATGGATCTCAATGGATGTGAGGCGGTGCAGAGCGGTGACACTGTCTGTGAGCTCCCTCAACTTGACAGCCTGGTTGATGTGAATGCGCTGCAGTCGCTGCAACACTGGAACATACTTCTTTGGAAAACTCTTCAGGCGGCCAGCAGTTGGGATTTTGAGGGTGCGGAGGTTGGGGAACAACTCTAGGGGCAGTGGGAGGTCCTCGGCCTCGCCCACCAGCGACAGCTCCACGTGCTCCATGGCGGGCAGCACCATGCTCGGGACCAGCCCGCGCATGCAGCCCACACTTATGAGGCTCAAGCTCCTCAGCCTGGGCAGAGCAGGGATTTCCAGAAAAGGGGTGAGGCGCTGGTAGGTTCCAAGGGAGAGGATCTCGAGGGAGTGCGGCAGCGATGGCAGGAGGTGGGGCAGCTGAGGGAGCTTGGCCAAGGCCAACTCCTGAGCCTCGAAAGGCTGCTCAAGGTGGTGGGAAAGGAGGAGAGGTCGCGGCACGCGCGGACCTTGAGAAGCTCCAGGTTGACGAGGTGAGGTCAGTGAGGGAGTCGAGTATCTCGGTGATGTGCGAGAAGGGCTGGATGATCAGCTCCCTCAGGTTGCTCATCCTCCCCATGTCCCCTGGCAGCTCTACTATCCCACACTCCACCAGCTCAAGCCTGGTCAGCGAGGTCAGCTGAATGAAGGAGGATGGAAGCAGCTGCTGCGGGAAACTGGAGCTGAGATGGAGCGTGTGAAGGTTGGTGAGCCCGCCAATGTCGTTGGGGAGCAACGAGTAGGGGCACTTGAGAACGTAGAGGCACCGCAGGGCTGTCAAGTCACCGAACGCTGCAGGGAATCTGAAGGAGGCACCGCAGTGGAGCAGATTAAAAGCCTCCAGGGAGGTGAGCTGGTGGAAAGAGTTTGGGAGGCCCCTCATCTGCACGTGCGACAGGGTCAGGGTCTTCAACGCGGGCAGCCACCCGAAACTCTCAGGCAGTCGGGCGATGCCGCAAGAGGAGATGGTGAGCTGCTCCAGGCAGGTGAGCTGCTCCAGGCAGGTGAGCTGCTCCAGGCAGGTGAGCTGCTCCAGGCAGGTGAGCTGCTCCAGGCAGGTGAGCTGCTCCAGGCAGGTGAGCTGCTCCAGGCAGGTGAGCTGCTCCAGGCAGGTGAGCTGCTCCAGGCAGGTGAGCTGCTCCAGGCAGGTGAGCTGCTCCAGGCAGGTGAGCTGCTCCAGGCAGGTGAGGGCGGTGAGCTGCTCGGGCAGCTGCGACAGCTTCTTGCACTCGCAGATGCTGAGGTCCCGAAGGAGTGGCAGCCGCTCGCCCATGTCGTCAGGGAGGCGCTCCAGCCCCTCGCAGCCTTTGAGAAGCAGTCGCTCCAGATGGCTGAAAGACAGTCCTGGCGGGAACAGCTCGTCGAATGGCGGGCTGCACGGGTCGAGCTCGAGCGCTCTTAGCCACGGCACCTGCGCGACCGAGAAAGGGAGCTCGTCCATGCTTCCCCGTTGCAGCCGCGTGGCGTTGGACAAGGAGAGGGTGGCGAAGGCCGGGAGCCGACCGAGGGTCGCGAAATCGAGATCCGCATCCTCGGGAATGTCGAGCGCGAGCGCGGTGAGCGACGTCAAGCGCGTGAATCCTGGGACCTGGAGCGGTACGGCGTGGGTGAGGCCGAGGGTGCGCAGGTGCGCGAGGCTGGCGAGGGACGCCGGGAGGTACTCGTACGGATGCACGCAGTAGAGCGAGAGGTGCTGCAGCTGCGTGCAGCGACGCACGAAACGGTCCACACCAGCCGCCGTCACCGGAAAGCCATCCCCGCCCCCCCGGTTCCACTGCTTCGTCATGCCCTTGCCCACGTGCAGCGACACCAGCTTCGGGCACGCAGCGGCGAGGTGAGCGAGGAAGGCGTCGTCGATGGTCTCGACGCTGTTGTCGCTCAGATGCACGTGGGAGAGGTGCCGGAAGCACGCGACGGCCGCGGTGAGATGTGCGAGCGGAACGACGCGGTTCTTCTTCACGAGGAGCATGGACACGTGCCGACGCGCCAGGCGACGCCAGCGCGAGCACACGGAGGCGATGAGGAGATTGTATGCCGGGTCTGTGCGCGTGGCAGGAGCTGACAGCGGACTACTGCTAGCAATGTTCGTTCTACTACTGTTGTCGTTCCGATGCGACAAGGGCAGCAAGTAACCTTCGGAGGTGGTGAGCTCTTCGCCATACGGGTTTTCGCAAGAGTACCTTGGCCCTGGCAAGCCGAATAGCGTTGTATCAACGTTGTTGTCTATGGGCTGGCGAGTAATGTAGGGTTCTTTGGCGCTCCAGAAGATTCTAACGAGTAGGTCGTCTGATAGATCGTTGATGTATGCGCGAGGCATGGTATCTAAACTAGCGGAATCCCTAGCGCGCCTTCGGTGCTGCAGGTAAGAGTTAATGTGAACTGCAAAAGTGTGGCAGGCAATCGTGCTTCACAGTATCCCAGATACAGTCGATGCCCATTAGAGGAGCCCCACCTTTGCCTTATCAAAGGGCGGGGAATGAGCACAAGCTTTTCGTGAACTCTCTTAAATTCGCCACAGGAAAAAATGGGACTGTAACGCGGAAGTGGAGGGGTTGGCGAATTACCATGTGTTGCTTCTAAAATATCTGACGAAGGGATGGTTGACAGCGTGATAAGCAGTTTGATTGACGGCTACGATCTGCTGACGTGACTGTATATGAGGGGCCGTTGCCTGTCCACGAATGCACGAGGGAAAAGTTGTTAGATGGGTCGAGCAAATTCCACGGCACTAAGTGAGCATCGACTGTACTGTAATGGTGTGCTCCACAGAGCTCTCACTGCGTTTCCCGCAAGCAGGGTTTGTTTTTCTTTCCGCTAGGCTTCCGCACCCAGAACCGACTCCGCTCACAAAGGTGAAGGGGACCCTGGCGAAAATGCCGAAACATAACAGGAGGTAACGAAATGATGTCTCTGACTGTGATTGCATATTTTCTGTGGTAACATTTGCAAGCGGGGCAAGACGACCTGGAAATTGACGGGAAGGTGGAGGTTGTTGGGGTTGGAGTTTTGGGGCGGATCTGGGATTGCGCTGGGGCTGCGGAACCGAACGTGGGCAGTCTTGCGGAATAGGCTGGCGGAAACCGTGTGTGTAGTTGCGGAGTGGGGGGGTGGGAGGCAGGTTTCGCGAGTGATGAGATTCCTCATGGAGGAGTTGACGCTTTTGCGCATCGAGCCGCGAAGGTCAGCAGGCGCCCTCATTTGAGTGGTTCGAGCATCTACCTTCTTGCCTGCCACCAGCGTTTCGAATACTGGCCTAGTTATTGAGCGTGAATGGTATGAGATCTTATTTTGTTCCGTGGTCGTGTTCTTTCGTTTCCATAAAGGCGATGTTGTTGTGCATACATCCATCTGCTAGCCACACCCAACTCAGTTTCACTCTGCCAGCAGCGGCACGGAAGTAGTTTCACTCCCGTGTCCAGTACTTTCTGCTTCTCCCGCGGCGCATCGATTTGATTCGCGTGCATGGTTTCGTTGGCAGCAGCAGCATCGAGTGTCCCTCGAACATGACGCCTCGGTTCAGCGCCTCCTCCTTCGGCCTCTTGTCCTCGGAGGGTGCCATAGGTTAAGTCAGCGCTGCTGCCGGGCACGGTCGGCCTGGTTTCAATTCCGCCGATCCGGGAACCAAAGTAATCCTGACCGTATATCGCTCACGAACCGAAGATCACGGCTCGCGGGCCTTCTTTTGACTGGCTTTGTTGGCTGAGTAGGTAAGTGGCGGTTTCCGTTCGAGGGTTGCACGGACAGAGTGCTGTGGGGCGAGGACGCTTGTGAGAGTCGCTCCAAGGGCTGTGAGGGACCGCTGGAGAGGGGGGATTGTCGATGGGTCTGCGGAGGCATAAGAGGATGCTTGCTGTGCCCATGCCCTCTCGCCTCCACCCGCACAGCCGTACTGCTCGTCAGCGCACCATCTAGAACCCTCCCTCTACCCCCCTTGCGCACTCTCCTTTCACTTACACCCTCCCCCTCTCCCTCTCAGGCCTTTACGCTTCCCCTCGCCTCCTTCCCCTGACCCCAATCTCCTTCCTCTCCCCGAACCCCAATCGCCTACCGCAATGCCAGGTTCTGCGTAGCCCGTGTCGCGGCTCATCTCCGCCGAGGTGCGCGCGGGGCGATGGGAGTGGGTGGGCGTGCCATGTGCCAGTGTGTGCGCAGCAAGCGTCAACGCGGGGTCAAGCCAGACCATCACGGGAGCCGTGCCTCGCCGGGGCGCTGCCTCGCTGGGATTGTGCCGCCAGTGTCACGGCTGTGGGCACGTGAATAAAGAAGAGTTTTGAGACGTCTCAAAACTCTTCTTTATTCACGTGGCTTCACTTTTTCTGGTTCCTGTAGATTTCTGCTAGCGTGGAAGCTGCCTTTTCGCTTAAAACGAAGACTGATTCAATCGAGGCTCCAACCTGTCGCAGTTTGAACTTCTCCATGCGACAGAGGTGGTGTTTCCACCTTTTCGACTTCTCGACCTTGGTTACCAACTTTCGCGAACACCCCAATTGGGTTCCGAAGAATTGGGTCAGAGTCACCTCGAGATCTCATTCCACTTCCGCCTCGACATCTTCATCCATCTGCCTGGTTAGCTTAGCCTGATCGTAGAGTATATCAGCTTGCTTGTTCATTACCGTCTCTTAGGGCGTATTCCTGCACTTCGGGTCATCAGCACTTCGGGTCTTCCGAGATTGTGGGATCCAATCGAAAAATCGGAATGCACCCCAATCTCTTGCTTCCGAGTTTCCGATTGGATCCCACAATCTCGGAAGACCTGAAGTGCTGATGACCCGAAGTGCAGGAATACGCCCTTAGCTTCAGGCTTGTTTGTACTGATGAAGGCTGGCAACAGCCGAAACTAGTTTACTCAAGTGCTGATTTTAAGATTCCGTTTTGTTCAAACTGGCTCACTAAGATACGATCTAGCTAACAAGCTTCAACCAGGCTTCCCATTTTCATTTCATGGAGTTTGTCTCGCCGTCTCAGTAACATCCAAGTTGATGGACGTCAGACCTCCGCAGCCCACCTGTCTACCAATAACAGGACCTGCTTCGAGTGATACGGTTGTGGCCAGAGGCTCTCCATCTTCCGACGACGATTCATCCGACTCAGAGGTCTTTCACGAGGCCTCCCGCTTTTTCGTCTTTCGCGCTACTAAGCGTCAGCGAGAGGATTCTGACGATTCCCTTCAGCTGGAAAACGGAAAGCCTGAGTTTACTCCGATTCCATATTCAATCGCGCATCCCAAGACATTACGACGACTTGCATTCAAAACACCAAAGAGAATAGCTTCCGCGTCTCCTGCAATGGCTACTAACGCAGACGCTGCAGGTGTTAATGTGATCGAAGGAGCTAACATCTCCCAACGAACACTGGAAGCGGAGTTTACGCCAGAAGGAAACGGACAAGATTCAGGTCCTATGCTCCAAGATCAACGACTCTGCTTCGGAAATGACTTATGTCCAGCTCCTTTTAAAAAGTGGCAACAAGAAGCTATTACTAAAGCTATCAAGTCCTATGCTACTTACTTAAGCCTCAAGCAGCAGGTCACTAAGATGAAGCTCATTGACGGCCGAAAGGAATTATTGCACAGCATCAGGACCAAGGCCGTTCAGTTCCAGACCAGCAATGAGGTTATTAAGAAGGCTGCTGACGATAAAATCGCTTCTCTGCACAATGACGCTCTTCTTGAACAACAGAAAGTTTTCATTGAAGCTAAGGAGGAGTTAATGACTACTGCTTTTAACGAAGCCAACGGTGGTGTTTCTCTTTTGGATGGACTGATCTCCAACTACATTACTGGCATTAAAGCCATGGAAGAAGACTCCAGGCGGAACAAAGCTATTGAAGTAATGGAGTTTTTTAGGGGAAGGCTTGTCCAAGAAGCTATTGCTACAATCGAGATTCAGCAGACCAAGTCATTCATGGAATTTCATGAAAGTCAGCGCCTTAAGCATGAAGCAGAGATGGTTAAGAAATCAGCTCAGGAAGTACTCCAGAACATGGAAACAGAGCCCAGCATGAGGGAAGTTGCTAAGAACGTTGTCAATTCAAAACTTTCCGCGGTACTTCAGCGGCTTGAAAAGCTTGAGCTGCAAACTCAATCATCAACCAAGGGAAAGCAGCAGCAGCAGCAGCAGCAACAGCCGCAGCAGCCACAGGGACAGCAGCAGAAGTTGCAGAAGCAACAGAAGCAGCAGAGCCCACAGCAGCAGCAGCCACAGCAGCAGCAACAGCAGCATCAATCCCAGGTACCTTCTGCGACAGAGGACAAAGGGGATAAAAAGAAGAAGAAGCGGTGGTACAAACCAAAAAACGGAGGAGGCCCCGCAAGGGGCCAGCGCAGCTAACAAGCAAGGAGTTAGCACTCCGTTGGTTCGTGAGATTGACCGAGTCTCAGGCTAAGACCCGGATCATCAACCACGGAGTGTTCAACTTGAGCTCCCACAGCCTGACACCTGCTGAACGAAGTGTTCTAGGGCTTGGACTCAAGTTTGTCCTACCTCATGCGCAGCCGTTTTCCTCTTCTGAAATCTTTAACGATTTTTCCAATCTGTTCAGGTCTATAAAGCTACAGGAATTCTTTAAAGGGACAGGACGTACTGATAGCCGTTTTCGGGTTAGTAATCCCAGTTGGCTACCTGAAGAGGATGAGAAGTTGGAAGCAGTTTTCGAAGAAACCAGAAAGGATTTATCCTGCCTGTTATCTCAAACACCCATCCGTAAAGGGCCTTACCTCCCCAAGGGGTACTATAAAGCCATTCGCGGACTCGCCTCCAACTCCAACCTCATCATTAAGCAAGCCGACAAGAACATGGGGATCACCCTGATGGATCGTACGGCCTATATCCAAGAATGTCTGAATCATCTATGAGAAGAAACGAGGAATGAGAATGACTAAGGGAAAGTTGGGTACAAAATGTAAACCCTAGAAAACTGTACCCCATATGTGCTACCCCACTATAGCCTACAGTAGCTATGTCATATAAA